CACAGGCTGAGGGTTAGGGTTTCAGTTCCTCTTCTCTGGTGAAGCTCTGCAATCTCTCTGTGTTTTCTGATTTGTGTTGACCCTCCTTTGGAGGGAAGGTCCAGTTCTCTGCTCCCTTAGTTTTAAATGTGCACAAACTGCTTTCATGAGACAGGGATGTCATGGGTAGAACTCAAGTAATTCCATAAAAGGGCTGGAGAAACTTGTTTCCTGCGTATCCCTCACGTTTCTTAAAGTAGCATCTCCAAATCTGGGCGTGTTCCATGGAATCCCAAGGCTGTGGCTGCCATTCCACCCGGGCTGGGGGATCAGCCCCTTTTCTGGGCTCTCCAGCCCACAAATCATTTTTACCTGCAGCAAACAAGGCCAAGACAAAGCTGTCTGACAAACCCTTTGCTAGACTTTATCCCTGTGCGTGGAGGGGAGTGTGGCAGGTCCTGTGCTGTGTCCCTCCAGAGGGTGGGAGGGTGTTATTCTCACTGGCATATTGTGCGTGGGAAAGTGGGGAAAAAAGCCAGCCACCAAACTGAAATGGCATTTCAAGTTAACCAGCCTTTCCAAAGGCATCTCTGATTAAACAGATGTGGGTTAAATAATTTAAATTCTCTGCACCCTTCAGCGTAGAAATGGCAAAAATGTGGAAGTACCTTCAGCTTGCTGAAAGTCTGGAGGAAAGAGGCTCTGAGGTGACTTTGGTTTGGTGTATCCTGGAATAGAATCATGGACTATCCAGGGTTTGAAGGGACTCACCAGGATCACCACGTCCAATAAGAACAGAAGTGGTGCTGGCTGTGCTGTCAGGCCTGAAAAGTAATGATTGATGTGTGAAAAAAAGTCTGCTGTATAAACTTTAAGGGTTTTTAATTTAGCTTTGATGGTTTGGCACTCTCATTCCTCTCTTTGGAGACAAAAAAAGAAAAGCACGTGGAGGGGAGTGACCTTTTCCATGAGGGGGAATTGAATTGGAAGAGGTTTTATCCATCTTTGTTAATTTTTGGGATGTCAGAGCGTTATGTTAATGTTTCTTGCAAGGTAAAAGATGATCAAAATCCTGTCAGCCCTGGAATGCTCCACCCTGGGCAAGTCTTGAGTGATGTCCAGGTCTTTGTGGGCTCAGGAGGAGGTTTGGGAGGTAAAGTTTTCGGTGAGGAAAGCTTTTAGAGAGGCTCTGTGAAGTGTTTCTACGTGGAAATCAAGAAAGGGCGAGTGCATTGCTGGTGGCTTTATTCCTGTTCAGCTCTGTCCCAGCAAAAATAAAAGCAGCTTTTGGTATTGCATCCTCATTGACAGGGCAATAAAATTCCAGGGAAAAGCAGCAATGCTTCATAAAAGTACAAACAAAGCAAATGCCTCTCCTGGGATGTGTCCAGCCAGCAGAGACTGTTTGGAGGGAGAAGTGTTTGGCTCGGGTGGGAAGTGCAGGATGGTGACGTTACAAAAATCAATGGACATGAAATGAGTTAATAGAGGTGGAAGTTTTCCCCTCTGGGCACTGCCAAAGGGTTTCAGGGGCAGAATTTTCCCAGGAAACTTTTCTTCTGATGCTGCTGATGGTTTTTGTCTTGATATTAGTTTAGATTTTGGTAACACCGAGGTGACATCTCCGATGTGCTGTGGCCACATGGGGTCCTGCCTGTCAGGGGGTGGGTGCTGACAGGGGATGGGATTTGGGTGTAGTTTGGCTGTGCCTCCAAGCCCAGGGAGACCATGATCCATGATGATTCCAGGCTGGAGCTGACTCTGGGAGTGTGCTCCCTTAGCTGGATAAACCCTGGATCCATCCATCCATCCATCCATCCATTCCCATGATTCATTGTGTGTTCCCAGCACGTGGTGCAGTGTTTTGTGTTGGGGCTGTTCTTCCAGCACACACTGGTGTTCATCTGGGGAGTGTTTGCAAATGATTGAACATTTTAATCTCTTTCCTGCCTTCCCTCTCGTGGATTCCAGTGATGTGCATCCAGCAGCAGCCGGAGGGCTCTGACCCCAGAGGGATTTATGGGCTGTGGAATGAGGCATCCCCACTGTAATTTCTGTCTCATCTTTATCTTCTCCCATTGTATCCTCATTATCCTCATCTCCTTTCATATTGGGCTGCTCTGAGACAGCATTTCCAGCACTTCTGCTCCTGGAGGCTCCTTCCCCAGCCCAGCCCTGGGCTTTGGCAGGAGCTTCCCAAGAGCCAGTGCTGTTAATGCAAAGTGTGAATCCTTCCCTGGGGGTTGTCAGCCCCTCTGGGTGAGTGTGTGATGCTGTGTGAGTGAATGCAGAGGGACCAACACAACCTTCCCCTCCCAGCCATGCTTTAAACTGTGTTTTCCCACCTGGGCAGCCTCGTGCTCAGCAGTGATGCACTCGTGGTACAGCTGCTGGGGAGAAATCCCTGCTGGGAATGGTGGAACATTTGAATTTAATTTGAGTTAATTTATTAACCTGCCCATGGAACGGTGGCGAAACGGCCACAACCACTGGGATAAAACTTTTGTTCCTCTACCCTGCCCTCTGTGGCCCCAGTGCCAGCAGGGGTGTGATTCCAGAGAAGTGCTGCTTTGGGCAAAAGGCTCATTGTCCTGAAGGCTGAGTCTGTGTGTGGTGAAGTGGCATCACTCCTGGATTGTCCCTCACTGCACAGCCCTGGGTGTGGCTGTGCTGACACTGCTCAGCTCCCTTCTGCCCCACAAGGGCTGGGTTTGCTGGGTTGGCCCACTCTGGCCATCACATGTGAGGCAGTCACCTCCCATGTTCTGTGGGTCACTCACTTTCCACTCTAAACCAGTTTTCTCAGCAGTTTTTCTTCCCCAGTGTTACCAGTTTTAGCTCTGTATCATTTTCTCCTGCAGACACCAGTCCTGAGCCTCCTTCGTGCAGATGTGCGTGTCTAGAACATGCATTTAATGCTTCAGAATGTTCCACCCCCCTCCAGCTGGGCTCAGAATCCACCTGATCCCCAGCACTGGGTCTGATATTTTAGTTTCTGGTTTCTTGTTCCCCAAAGCCTGCAGTCACAGTGTCTGTTCACAGAGGCTCAGGCTGCTGCCTCTCAGGGGACTTTGCTTTAGTTTGAGGTTTTTTTGAGGCAGTTGGCAAGAACAGCTGGTTCTAAAAGCTAAACAAATTTTTTTCCTAACCTGTGGCTCTACCACCTTCCCCCCCAGTATGTGTCTGAGCCAGGAATGCTGCTCATCCTCAGGGCCTTTCCTTGGAGACCTGGCTGATGCCCCTCCAGCTCCTGCTGTGGGAATGAGGTTGTGTTTGTGCTTGGTTTTACCTTCGTTTGCAGGGCTGGGAACAATGACCTGTGGCTCCCTTCCCAAAGAATGACACATTGCCAAAAGGAGAGGCTTCAAAATGCAAACCAGCAAACTCCCTCCAGCCCACCAACACGATTCCCTGTCCTGCCTGCATGGAATAATTGCAGCCTTTCCTCCACTCTCCCATCTTGATATTGTTCTCCTGAATATCACCTGGGACGTCTTTACTGTCATGACACATTTTCTTAGTGCACAATTAGAATTATAACACCTTTTGCATTATCCTCTGAAAAGCATTTGATATAATTAAAGGGCCGGACTTGCTCTGAAATAACAAAATTTTGGCAAGGAACTGTGTTCCAGATGAATTGTTTTTAAGGCAGATTATACTGGCAGGTGGGGCTGTACCTCAGGCTGGAGAAGTAGGACACATTCCTTATTTGCTGTCAGCTTTCCTTTTGTGCCTCATGCAGATTTGTCTGATTCCAGCACTGGAGAGGGAAGCCTTGATTTAGGAATCTGTGTCTCAGTAAAATGACAAATGTTGGTGGGAGGCTCTCACCTTTCTCCCCCAGTGACTCTGCTGCCTTTGCTGTGATTTGAGGCAGAGAAATGGATTAATTATTGGGAAGGGTGACAAATGCACCCTGTGCAATCCCACCCTATCCCATGGAGCCAGCTGGTTCCTGCTGGGATGCTGGGCTGGAATAAAGGAAACCAGCCAGGTCCCAAAGCCCAGCATTATCCCTGACCTGCCAGAGCTGAAAGGTGTAGTCATAGCCCTGTAAAATGTGATGTCATGCGGGTGTTCCAGCTTCCACTTAGAGAGAAAATCAAGCTCCTGTTGAGGGGGGAATAAAAGGTGCCTCAGAATCCCAATTGTAAAGACAATATAACTAATTAAAAAAGAATAAAAACATCCTGTGGTGATTAAGGCAACCTTAAAATTTGCAAGGGCTGGGAGGAGAGCAGCCTTGGGCCTGGTTTTTGGCTGCCTGGGGCTGGCAGCTGGTTTTGGGAATTCCTTGGGTACCGTTTTTCACCTTCTGTTTGTATGTCCAAGTCTTAGTGAAATGAGTTTTAGGTCCAATTTGAAGTCCTGAAAATCTTTGTCACGAATAAGGCAGTGTTTATTAGGTGGTTCCACACTAATTGGGATTTTCCTGTTTCTACCCTACTTTTAGAGCCCTTAAAAATCTTTCCTTATTCTTCAAACTGCACCGAGTTATCTCCATACTGTAAAACACCAGGGGGAAATTGTGCTGTGCTTCTCCTGGTGACCTGGATAACACTTCTTATGAGGTGCAGGCTCAGAAAACATAAAAAGGAGTTCAAGGGAACACAGGAAACTTCCCTCAAGGTTGTGGTGAAGAGCAGCTCCTTGGGCAGAGCTGCTGGATCCTGGGATGCAGCCGGAGCAGCACTTGGGGCTGAGCTGCTCCTGTGCAGCCTCAGTGCAGACAATGAGCTGGGGACCTTCAGGGAGTGCTGGAAGGCTGGGACAGGCATTCCCTGTTGTGTGGAGCATGGGAAGTGTTGGATGGATGTTCACGTTCCTTGTTCCTCCCTGGAGCGCTGCAGTTTGGCTTTCCAGGGGTTGGAGGTGGGAATGGCTGTATTGAGTGTCCCTGGAATTCATTCAGGGTGATCAAGTGGCCTTATATCCATCTGATCTGGGGATCAAAACAAAGAAAAAGAGAATTGAGGCACTGTCCAGCTTCTGGATTTTCTTAATTTTTTCTTTCACAGAAGGAATCAAATCCCATCTCACCATCCTGGCAGAATGGATTAAAATGAACCACAGTGTGTTTGTGCTCAGAAACCTGCCCTGGTGTCCTCTGGCTGCTGGAGGTACTTCCATTTTCTCTGAGGGTGGAGTTGATGAGGTGTATTTTGCTGCAGTATCAGCTGCCTGATAATTTAACTTCCCTTATCCCATTATGGTGCTAAGCAACATTTGAAGGGATCATGAGTTTCCTTTTGCTATGGGTGCCTGGAGAGCATGTACAGTCTTTATAATAAGCTTTAAATCTAAATAAAAAGTTAAGTATATAGCACTCTAAGTCTTCCCAGCACTTTAATAGATTTATTTAATCATCCTTTATGAGCCAGGCCAGCAGTTACAACCTCCCTGGTCCCAAGGGGCGATGATGGATCAGCGGAGGGAGGGATTGCTTTGCTCAGGAGAAATGGCACTGGAGCAGGAGGGCAGTGGGAGAATCTCCCACTTAATGACCCTGGTTTGACATCAGTCCTCAGCCCTGGTTTGGGGCAGGTGTTGCCCCTCCTGGGGGTCAGGCAGAGAGGGAATGTAGCATCACACCAGGGCCACAGGGAAAAGCAGCCTCACAGGCCCCTGCTGGTTTTCCTCGGGGCAGGATCTGGCTCATGGTTTGCAAGCTCTGCCAGGCTAAATTAGCTGCTGATTTGTCATCTAGCCAGGAGAGCCCCAAAAAGGTTTGGAAATGCAGTTCCCACCCTGCATATTTCCCATCTGATTCCCACAAAACCCACAGCACACCAACCATGGTGAGTACCTGGACAGGGTTATTTAATCACCTCATAAAAAAATGGAAACAGATACTTAATGAATCAAAGTGCACTCAGATTAAATGATCAGAAATTCCTAGTTAATCACCAGAAAGGAAACTAATTAAATTACCATTCAGCTTTTATGGGGGCCTTGGGATGGTGAGCTGAAATAAGTCCCTTCAATCACTTTTTTCATTAGATGGGACAGGCATATTCAAGGTTAGTGAAGATAAATGGGATGTTCTTTGCTTGCTCTTGAAATTATAGTATTTAAATAGCATTTTATGCTTCACCACTTAATGCTAAACCCGAGGTAGCTGCAAGGAGAAGCTGTGGCAGAGGAGGCTTAGCAGGGAGACACGGGGAGGAAGGTGAGAATTGTGGGATATGTGAATTGAGATTTACAAGGCTTTCATTTAATTATTATTTAAATTTCTAATTGGATTTTGCCTTCAGGAACGAGGTAGATCAGTGATACTGGAAGGGGATGAGACAACTCCTGTGTTGACTCAGGCCTTGGGAAGCAGGGAGGGGTTAAAGGTGGTGTGTGGTGTCTCACTGACTCCGATAGCATCCAACCGTTCCCACGCCAAAGAGGGAAAGACTGTGATGGTGTATTTTGTTCAAAGTGTGGAATTTTAGTAGCAAAAGAGCAAATTCCTATTTTTTGGGGCAGCTCTGTGTCCTTGGGAGCCACCAGTGTGGCTTTGTGGTGATGGAACCTCAGTGGGTGGGTCAGGTTCTCCTCCAGCAGGTCCTGCCTGCCTTTGGGTTTGTCCTTGGCTTTTTATCCCTGTCATTTGTTCTGATGTTGAAGGGAATGTTCTGTCAGGGTTCTAAATGGAATATCTGTGGTGTCAGTGGCAGCAGCTCCTGCTGAGCCCTGGGAAGGCAGAGGGGATGCTCCATCCTCCCTCCCTGCCCGTGTCCCCTCCTGTCCCCTGCCCTGCTGGGTCCCTGCTGGGATGGTGCTGTTGTGCTGTTCCAGCACACAGGAATTTTCCTGTCCCTGGACTTCATCCCTGTGAGATTTCTGAGAGGCAGAGCTGCTGTTTCAGGGCTGGGGAACAAAGCTGCTGCAGCCCCAGGAGGTGCTCCCTGAGTGGAAGGGAAATCTCCCAGCGCTTCAAAGCTGGAGGTAAAACACTCCTGGAACACGTAAGGGCTCCTACAGAGAGCAAAGAGGAGGAAATCTTACTTTAAGCATGAGTCTGCATATTTTGGTGTTCTTTTGGTTGGGTTTTTTTAAAAGGCAAACCTTTACAGGCTCACAAAAGTAACAAAAGATCCAGTGATATCCCTTCAGCTCCCTGAAAAGGAGGATTTTCAGCAGAAAGTGAAATCAGTGAAATCCTTTCACTTTCTTTCTTAGGTTTTTAACAACCATACCCGAGGTTTCTGACACTCAGAAAAGTTAAAAAAAGAAAACTCAGCTGCAGGGTTTCATGGGTTTCAAAGCAGGGCACAATCAAGTCAAAATAATCTAACTTTAAAATCTGGGGGCTTTTCATTCACACTGAGCTTTTCTCGCTAAGGGAGATGCTGGAGAGACACCAGGTCACTGAGATTCCTTGTTAAATGGGTGCAGTTTTACTTACAAGAATAATAAATAGCCTTTTGTGGGGAATGATCAACTGTGACAATATTTGCTATCTGAAGCCCACAGAGCCTTGGAGTGCTGCTAATTTTGTTTTCTATTAATATGGGTAATTATGTTTACTCTGCCACTTGGGATCGTATCATCATGGAAATAATTAGTACATTTCCAGATACTTTGATAGATCTCAAAATTTCCTCTAAAAGCCTCAGAATACAAACACTGAAGACAAGAAAGGCGCTTAATAATATTATTGTTCAATTTAAATATATTTAGATCAGTATCAGCGTTGGGAGGGAGGTGGCTCATGGGTTTGAAGCAGAGCTGAATATTCCTTGCTGAGTTAGAGAAAAACACTGTCTCATGTTCTTCTAGCAGGGATAAAAGACCTGGAGGGAAACTCTGGAGCAGGACTGTCAGCTGGAGCCTTCCTCACCTCCAACACCTCCTTTCCAGCCCTTCCTGTAGGTTTAGGTGCAGGGAATGGCTCCAGATGTTCATCCAGGTGCTGGCTCTGCCCTTTCACACCCTATTCCTTGGGAGGTGTCTTTTGGGTGGGGAGGATCCAGGAGTTGCATCCTGGCTCACTGTTTCCTTGGGAGAGAATTTCTCTTTTTGTCTGCCTAGGAGGGATCTGGGAGGTTTTTTTTCCCATGTGTTCCTTTGCTTTGTAACCAGAGCAAAGGAATTCCCAAAGAGTTTGGGTGAGCCCATTGTGTTGGTGACTGCGAACTGAAGATATTTTGGGGGGATGAGGGATTAGCCATGATAATCCATTAGGCAAACTTCCCACGTGCTTCTTGCAGTGAGGAAAAACTCTTTTCAAACATCTGGTTATGAAACAGGATTTGTGTAGCCTGGTTTCCACAACCTCTTGCTTTAATGATGTGGTTTATGTCTCCATAGCTTTCATCCATCTTCAGTGGTAATGAGCAGGGAGCAATTAGCAATTAGTTAGCTCAGCAGTTTCTGGGAGAAGGGCCTCCTGCCCCCCCCCCACCCCCCGGGGGATGTTGTGGCCTTTCTTCAGCAGATTGTGCTTTGAAGCTCCCAAGGACAGTGTGGCTTTTGGGATCTGGAGAGAGGACACTGTCCTGGGAGCTGCAGAGCATCTGCTGCCCCAGCTGCTCCAGCTGCTCACCCCCATCCCTCTGGGGATTTGGGCCCCACAAGTGTCCCCTGTGCCTGGCTGGAGCTGCAGGGGGGTGGCTGGACCCTCACTGGGGTAGGAGACGGGGTGGGGAGCTCTGGGAACCTCTCCTGGGCTGCCTGGGGTGAAGGGTCCCGTTGGCTCCACTGATCCCCCTCCTGAGCTGGCTTCCATATCCACAGGGTCACTGGGGCTGGAAAAGACCTCCAGGAACACTGAGCCCAACCTTTGAGTTGTCAGCAGACCCTCTTGTGAAGGGCCAAGTCCACTTGTTGTTTGAACACTGAAGGGATGGTGACCCCCCCACCTCCCTGGGCATCCTGTGCCAACACTCAAACACTCTTCCAGTGAAGAGATTTTTCCTGATATCCAACCTGACCCTCCCCTGGCACATCAAGGCCACTTCCCAGGTCTGTCCAGCTGCAGGTTGGTGTCTGTCTGGTTGGCAGCTCCCTGAATCCTCCCTGTTGAGGGGCAGTGACCCAGGAATCCTGTGCACTGTGTTGACTCCTGGATTCCTGTGTCCCTGAGACGATACTGAGGAGCCACGTGCCTGAGCAGGATCAAACCTTCCCAAAATGTAGGAAATGAGGGGACATTTCCCACCTCAGAGTCCCTCTGTGGCTGTGCCAGGACACACTTGCTCTGAGGACACAGAACCTCATCAGCTACTCGTGGCTCATGGAAGCAAAGTTTTGCTTCATGACCTAATTTCTCACCTGGCTGATGCTTTCCCTGGATTGGGGCAGTCTGGCTTTGCTTCATTTTGGCTGGAAATGGTAGCAATGGAATTCAGAGCATCCCTGATGAGCTGAGTGGCTTTTTGCTAGTTTGGCATGTTCTTCAGTTCCTAGCAGTGCTTGTTCATTAGGGCACTTCACAAAGGCCTCAAAATGATGACTTCTGTGTTACTGGGGTTGTGGAGGAGCCAAAAATAATCACAGACCAGGAATACACTGTTCAAATCATTAAGCAAAAAAGTGTTGATACAGGTTTAAAAAAATAACTTGGATGTTCATCTGACGGAGTTCCCATAGTGGAAAAGAACCAACAAGTAATACCCAGGAACAAACCCAAAGGGGTGACATAACAGATCCACATCCCCTAAAAGAGGCTTCTTCAAATGAACCCTCTAATCTGCATTGCAGCTTTTGTGTTCCAAGGCACCAACACAGACTTTAGGAAAAAATAACCCTGCAAAAATGAGGCGTTAGAAGATGGTCTGTGGGTGCATTTTGTCTGTAGATGCCATATTCTGTTAATCACTGTTAATGATACAGATGCAGGTGAGAACATCTGCACATTTTACACAGATATATTGTGCTGTTGCTCTGTCCTCCTGCTCTGCAAGTAAAGTTTTAGTGAGGGCAAAAAGCAAAGAAGAGACTGGAAGGAAGAATTAAAAAAAAAAATAAAATTCAAACATCCCCTAAATAAATTTCAATAGCAAGGCATTTTGAAGAAATAAAAATGTTGCTCTTTAAAACCTGGAGACTGGAAGTAACCCAGAAACACACATTTTGAGCAGAAATGCCTCGGGTTTTTCCCAAGGATGGGGATGCTCCAAGCAGTTAAGGGTTGCAGGATGCTCTTTGGAAAGGCAGGTTTTTCCCTTGGGTTGCAGCTTCCAGCCAGGAATAAGAGGTGATTTTAAACAGTTATGTGCTAGAAGTGCCTCATTTTATTTTATCTGCCATTCAGAAAAAAAGACTTGCAGGGGAGTAAAACTGTTTAGAGTGCAATTCTCCTGGACAGAAGCAGCTGGAATCTTTGTGTTAACTCTGAGGAATGGAAGCCCCAAGGCACACAGTTCTTGCTTTATTAACTGGGGACGTAGTTTAAAGGAAAATTTCACCTTTCCCATCATTAAGGTAAGCTGGAAAAAGCCTTTCCTTTGCACATACAATGTTAAATTGTCCACAGGCCTGGTGCCACGGGGCTGGTTTGTGTTTAGGTTGTTTCTAAAGCCAGAGTTCTTATTCAGGTTTAGGTGCTCACTGATGTCACCCAGCAGGAGATATATTTTTTTTTTTTTTTGTTCCACTGAAAATTTTCCTGTAACACAGAACACTTTTTGATATAAGGAAAGTTTTGAACATACCATCTGTGTGTAAAATACACTTAAAATACAACTGCCCCGTCTGGCTCCTGGTGCTGCACAAATGTCCCCTCCCTGGTGGTGACACTGCTGCATGGTGTGTCTGCACAGCTTTCCTGGCTCCATCTCTGCTCGTTTTCTGGGATCTCAGTGGACTCTCCAGGCTGTCCCTGTACCATGGGAGCAGCAGGAGGCTTTAGGGGAAAAAGGGGGAACGTACCTGCCGTGATGGATGCTGAGGCAGCTTCCCCAGGGCAGGGAAAAGAGCTCATTCCTTATGGTTTAATGATATTTAAATAACTCTGACAGCTTTGGTGAGGGAATGCATTGCAGAGCCAATGTCTGAGGGGTTGCAGTAAAGCATAATGGAGTTATTAAGTTAATAGTTTCATAAATGTCACCTTGTTGTGAGCAGCACAAGTAGGGGTGGTTTCACAAGGGGCCACATTAGCTGGGCTGTGCTGAGCTCTGTGTTTGGGAGCACTGAGTTTAACCCAAAGTGCTGCACATCCAACACCTGCCCAGCATTCCCTTCCCTCTGCTGCATCCCACAGGTGTCCAAGGGCCACAGAACCCTGGCCTGGCTTCCCCCTGTCCCTCTGAAGAGGCTGGAGGTGCTGCAGAGAGCCTGGGCTTGTGCAAATCCCAGCTCTTCTCCTCGCCCTCCCTCCAGCTCTGCCCAGGAGAGGAGCACTTGAAACATCACAAGTCATTACATTAATTAGCTAATGCCTAAAAAGTGCTTTGAAGAGGAAAAGCATTAAATAAATAGGCAGTAGTGATAATATTATTTTTAATAAATAGGAGAGCACATTCCATAAGGGAGGCTCGTGTGGTGAGTGCCTTTCACTGTGTAATATTAGCAACTGAAGAATTAAGAGTCTTTTCTCATGATAAAAGTCTTTCTCATGATTTCAAGATTAGTCTTTAGGCACTGTAGAGAGGTCAGGCTTTTATTTTGCTCAAAAATAGGTTAAAAATTGAAGCATTTTTCTATTTTATGCTTCAGGAAGATGAAGGAGGGCAGCATGACAATGGTCTGCACCACATGCCCCCTGCTCAGACACATAATGGGGCTGGGGAGGCTTTTCTGTGGAAACACTCTGGTCCTGGATTGAAATCCTGCCCAGCTCCCTTGGAATGAGATACAAAGGTGGATAAAGAAATCTGGATCACAGTGATAAGCTCCTGAAGGGAGGACCAGGCCCAGCAGCGTGAAAAGCAGTGGTGTTATGTAAGTACATTATTTTAATTGAAAAGCAAAACGTCCTCACATTTTTTGGGAACTGTCGTGGGTTGTAAGGGGATACAAAAATGGAGGGCTTGCCATCCTCTCCCTGTGGAGACTGGATTGTCTCATTGGAGCCAACAGGACTTAAATTAGACTTTGGATTTCATGCCTTAGCTCTGAGCCTGGGGATCTGAGCGGGGGCTGCTCTTCCTTCCTTGGCCATCTCTGGCTCAGTGCCCTCCTTAACTCCTGCTCAGAACATTTTTGGAAGGGGAATTGCAGACAGGAGGTAGCTCAGTCTTTGGAGAGAACCACTTGAGTGGAAGACCTTCCAAAAAGCTGCTTTGCTGGTGCTAAGAGGCTTCTGAAGGGCCACTGGGCCTTCCTGGGAGCGCTCGTGTCCCCCGTGGACGTGGCTGGAAGGAGGAGCTGCTCTTCTTCCAAAGCACAGAAGGAACCACAGCCTGGTCTGACTCCTAAAAATGTCCCTTATGGGTTTAGCATTTTCCTGGCAGCAAAACATGGAGCCCTTTCTGTAGCATGTGCCTGGAATTGTTTTGTTCAGGGAAATGTGTTGGGAGAAAATCCACTCTGTGTGTGTGTGGAAATAAGGCAGCAAGAGATAAGAGGGTTTGTGTTTGATTTTAGTCACTGGAATGATTTTCCCAAGGCAGCTATCAAGAAAACCTCAGGGGGAGATCACCCTTCCCAAACCAGGCTCCTCAGGAATCTCCCTGTCCATCCCTATGTGTGTCCTGAAGGATCCAATCCCTGGCTCAGACTGTCCCAGGCAGCCCCAAAGACTGCAGTTGTTTCAAGTAATGCTGATTGTGCCCCATAAATCCAGTAAGGTGACCCAGGAGTGTTCATTAGGATTTATTTGAGCCGCACTTATTGTCACTTAACAGCCTAAACAAGAGGTGCTGGTTCTTGGAGCAGTAACAGTAAATTAGAGTTATGGAGAACACAAATGCCTCATTACATCCAGTCAGGCTCTATTTCCCCTTTACAGCCACAACTGCAGGAAACATTGATTTTAATTTATGGATAAGGGTGCCCAGGAATCTTCACTTCCCTATTTACATAAACACCATAGACAATTAATCTTCTGCAAAGTAACCAGAGTGGTGATTGAAGTGTAGAGGCTCCTTCCAGAGCTCATTCCAGAATGCCCATGGGCACATCCCTATGGGATATCCCCGTTTTAATGATCATCTGTACATAGATAAGTACAAACAGCAGGAAAATAGCCAATTTATTTCCTTTTTCAAGTGCAATTTTATGCTGTGTGAGCTGTTCAGTCAAAACTGATGTGAGGATTTTTATTTGCTGAAAGATTGGGGTGAAAGTTCTGGCAGAGCAACAGGAACAGCCAAGGTAGGAAAATATGATGAATTTTTATTGCAGTGTTATTTGTCTCATCTTCCCCCTGGGAAATGTTGTGTGATTTCCAAAAAAACCCCTTAGACTAATGTTGCAGCATCAATAAAACTCAGCTTGAGTGTGGGATTAATCCTGCTTGATAAGCATCTTTGGGGTTTAATAGTTTACTGTGCTCTTGATGTATTACCCACCTATATTCTGCTTTAACAGCCTTATGACCTACACGGGGTCTTTGTGCATTGTAGGAAAAGGAGAGGGAGGTGCAGCCTGGATGGGGAGAGGAAAAATGCAGAGAACTCAACAAAACCCCTTTTTATGTTTTATTCTTCTCAAAAAGGCTGATTGGGCTCTTCAGATACTTAATTAATTTTCACAAGTGAGCAAAAACGCAGGTCAGCACAGAAAAGGAGCAAATTAAAGAGTATTTAGAGGCTGGAAATATTCACAGATCAGGAGCTGTTTTATAAATTTTTGCAGAAACGGGGAACTTTGGCCAAAAATCTTTCTCAAGCTGTTGCACAAGCAGAAAGGAAATGAAGGTGGTTTTCAGAGCTCATAGCAAGGCTTTTGTGTTCCTGAGCAGGCAGGGAGAGGATATTTACCTGTACATTGAATAAACTTCACCTCAATATCCTCGAGTAATAACAGAAACAACTCCAAGATGCTCAACCAGAACCTCATATTTGCACACCCCGACTGTGTTTCAAGAAGAAACCAAGTTTGGCAATAGTTCCCTTTTTTTTCTGCTCTCCCCTAAAGGTTTGTATTTCTCAGCTCAGACCTTTCTCTCAATCCCATCCACATTTCAACCTCTTTTATTGTTGCTGCAAGAGATAAATTTTGGATATTGCTCACATGAAAGTGCTGCTGCTATTTTTTGATCCCTTGGATGTGGCCCAGTTGTTCTTTGCCCTCTCTAGGACTTTCAAGCTCAGGAATTCAATGTATCTTTGAGGGCACAGCTCATTTTTTAAGATGAACTTTCCCATAAAATGTTTTGGCACTAAAAAAGTTCAGAGTTCTTGTCACCCCTTCGGAGAATCAGAGAGAAAAAATGACTTTGGGAGTTTTGTGGTTCCAGTTTTAATGTGGGGTTTTACCAATTTGATTCTGTGTTTGCCTGGAGCAATGGAATCAGTGGAGAGGAGCCTGTGGATTCCATTTGGAAACCAAATTCGTATTTTTTTATCTCAGGAGTTCTCCAAATTGTTGTTATTTTAGAACTTTTTTTTGGAATTTTACAGGTTTGCTGATTTTCTTCCAGACAATCATTTACATTGGTGCCATGAAAATCTCTTGTTAATTCTTTTTGGCAACTGAAAAGTTTAAAAAAGGTCCTTTTCCCAGAGCAATAGTGTTGTAAAAAGGCATTTCCTACTTGTCCAACCCCTTTCTGGTGGCATTCCCAAAAATCTTCATTCCTGTCCCATTCCAGCTCAGTCAGTGGCAGCTCCTCTGTGCACATATGGATGAATTTATTAAAGCTTTCATATGATTTACCAAATAAACACGTTGGAACTGAGCTAAGAAAATGTTAAATTTCTTTAACTGTTATCAATTAAAGACAAAAATCAATAGCAGGGGGGAAAAGTAGAGAAAATCCATGGAAGTGCTTTAATGTCCTTGTTCTTGCTGGTTCCAGGAGTGTCATGTGCAGTCGTGCAAGGTACAAAATTAACCTGCAAATGTCATTTTGTCCTGACAATGGTGCCTGGAAATGAGATGTTCCCTGATGAGAAAACATTCAGTGCCTGAGCACTGAGGTTCTTGAGGGAAGACTCACAAAATACTCTTTAAATACCAAAAGACCCCAACTTTTGGTCCTTTTCTTTTTGAGTTGCTGTGTTTGCCTCCTGGCTGGAGTGAATCCAAATGATTCTTTTGCTTTTGTTAATTGCTGCAAATAATTCCAATTCCTTCAGGTGATCATAAATCCCCTGCTCACAGCAGAGCCTTGGACGTGGCAGGATGGATTACAGGCAGAGCTTTCCCCCTCCTATTGATTGATTCTTTGCAGTGGACCTTAAAAATCCATTAAGGAAGGAGTTAGATGATGGGCATTAATTCCAAATCCTTTGTTGGTATGTGCAGCTGAAAAAAAGCCTTTTCAAAACCATTAATCATAACTCAAACCAGACTCACTTTAAAATAAACTTTACAGTAAATTGGAGGACAAAGCCAAGGAAGGTGTTTAAATTCCCTGTCCCAACGTGCACTGAGGATTTTTCTCAAGTGTTTCACTGGATTTATTTTCAATATTTTTCAGTTTACTTTGTTCTGATAAGAAGATGTTGATGTGCAGCCACCTGTGCCAATAATGAAGAAGATGTTTGCTGTTTAACAGATAGGAGATGTCACCACTTTGGAGGCATCTGAGGAATAAAATAAATAAAACTTGCCATCTCCTCCCAGGGAACATCATTAATCAGGCAAAACTTTGTTTAGAATAATAATAAAAAAACTCTCCTTCTGAAATCTGCAACCATTATTAATTGTTAACTTTAATTTATACTGAATGGTTTGTGCATCCCTTGCTCCCACCAACATCTCAATCTTAGCAAGTTTGGTTGGACTTGATGATCTTCTAAGGCTTTTTCCAAGGCCTTTTCCAACCTAAACATTTCTATGATTCACAAAGCTGTGGATCCCCATGGTATATTTCCCCTAAAATTCTAAATTCTGTCCAAGTGAGGAGAATCAGGAACCACCAAACTTGAAGGTGAATTTGAAACAAAAAAACCAACAAAAAACCCACCCTTGTTTCCCAAAGGTCCCATATCCAGCAGTAAATCACCAATGGAATTGGAGCTGGTGAGTTGTGTAATACAGATTAATCCTCCCCCACTCCGAGAACACTCCTGGGAGAACCTGAGGCAGCCCCTTCATTGCCAGGTGGTTACTAAAATTCATGAGTGCTTTCTGGCAGCTGGAGAATGAATTTCCACGTTGTTGGATGTATTGTAAGATGTGAAGAGCTGTGGAGCAGTGGCACAGCAAAATAAGTGTTCCTGACAGGGTGGGACAGCTCAGGAGCTTCTGCCCCTGCAGAAGTTTTATATAATCTGATAGGAGTCCACAGTTTTATTCCCCTAATGGTGTTCCACACTGATAATTAATTAGAATTATTTTTATATATATGTATATTTTTTTTAAATTTCATTCTGTGAATTGCCTCAAAATCTGAATTTTCTATTAGTGATTTTTTTTTTCCGAAGTCCTTGCTTTGGAAAACATGCAACAATCTTTGAAGGACATCATCCAGCACCAATTATAAAGGAGCATCCACAGCAGCTACACAGGGAAAGGGATAGGACTGTTAAGCCAGAGTTTATTATTTCTGCAGAGATTTGCTGTCCTTAATTTGCATAGAACTGTCTTTGATTAAAAATTGCCTGTCACAGAAGCACCTCGGTGATTTTTTTTTGGAGCAGTCATCTCTTCTCCTAATGAGGATATATTTTATGCGAGGGTATGTTTTTATTTCTTCTAAATGTTCTCTT